GCCTGTATATAGCAGCCATGTGGCCTGGGAGAGAGTATGAAAGTGAAATTTCTCTCAAGATTTGTCATTTGCAAAAGGCCATATTTCCCTCTCACTCCAGCTCCCTCCAATCTTCCCTGCTGTAATGGGGATAGTTTTCATCTCCTGACATCACTAGGAGGACTGAGAGATGTTCAAAGCACATATTCTTGGAAGGAAGCATTGTATGGCAAAGGAAGTATAATTATGGTGACAGTGCAGGGAGAGCAGATACGTCTCCCTAAAAAGATTTTACAGTCTAATTTGCATTTTTTAAAAAAAAGATTTTTTTGTTAGAGGCAGCAGGGAAACATCACGAGAAATTCAGCAACTCAAAATATTTCAAAGGGACAAAAAGAACAGGGGTAAAAAAAAGATGAAATCCAGTCCTACCAAATCACATCTAGCTCAAGAAGAGACAAAAATTGAGTGTAAGGGACTGACCAGCCTAGGGCTGATGCCAGAGCTCTCCCACTACAGGAAACTAGTGGGGCTGAGACCCCGTGGCTACGCAGTGTAGGAGCACTAGCACCTTCATTACATCAATGGGCCTGGAGGTGCCCTGAACAAACAACCTCTGACTTGTCCTTGTACTAAGGAGCTCCTTGTGGGGTTGTTAATTCACAAGTTAACAGAGTCTGCCCCAGAAGGGGTTGCACCAAGTAAGACCTCCCGTAGCTCCCCAGGGGGTTCAGGTAGGAGGTAGCTGGGGAGTTGGAATAAAATCCTGCACGGGTGTAAGGGTGATGGCGCCCACGCCTCCCTACCAGGCACTGCCCACCAGGGCTGCCCCCGAGCCCAGCCAAAGCCTCGCTCCCACTGTCTATACCGCCAGCGGCGGTCACAGCTGGGATCCATACGGGAGACCTGTGCAACAGCATGGCAGTGCCGCACGTGCCGAGAGTGCATGTAGCACAAGGCAGTGCTGCTCGTGCTGGGGAGGGTGTGAGGGGGTGGAAGGGAAACTTGTTTTTAAATTCATACTTGTGTGACTGGGGGGAAGGGGGGTTGGTTTACAATGAGAGTCCATCAGCACTGCCCAGGACAAGGAGAACCACCAGCATCTTTGCAAAAAACAAGTGTGGATGATCAACTGATCAAAATGACCTAACCTGTCATTCCCCCATATGGGACAGGCTTGGTTCAGACTCTGCAGCCTAAGCATACCGAAATCAGCTGGTTACACCATTAGATGGTGTTTGGTGTATTTCTTCCCCACCCTGAACATTAAGAGGGCATAGGAGAAGCACCAACTCTGCTAACAGTGTCTGGAAAATTTGGGGGACAGATCAGGCAGGTTTCCGCTGTCAGAAGTGCAGAAAAAAATGTTGACGAACAGGAGAATCAGTTTACCAGGTGGACCTGAGCCAGACTTCTCAGCTCTACTCACAATTTTAGCTCACTGCAAAACTACCACTGCTCATCCTCCTTCCTACAGCAAGTAATTGGGATGGAAGATGCTGGCAATATGGGTTCTAAGTGTGAAATGAGCAGAAGCAATATGTCAGCTCCTTAATCACATCTGTATGACACGCTCCCCTTTCTCCCTTTGCCAGCTGTACCTTTTTTGTATAGAGACATAAACACCTGTGGAGCAGTATTTGACCCACCTCAATATTAAGGCTGGATGCCCTGCTTGCTTTTCCAGCTGCGCAGCCTGAGGTTTCCTCCTGCTGCCATGCCCAGCTCTTGGCAGGATTTGCGCATTCCCGTCGCTGCCTGTAGCTAAGGTAAAGCACAGGGTCTCCAATGCACTGCAGCGGAGCTGAATCGGTACCAACACGGCTGGCTCAGCCGTCTCTCTGCCATCTCTGGCTGATTCATTAGGCTCAGACTGTTCAAAGGGATGGAAATCAAATTATATTTAGGTCAAAAACATATTTTGAACAAAAATACCTATTATATTTAAAGTATCTTATTCAGAGACCTTCTGTCTGCTGCCTCCAGGACGGCTGCACAAATACTCACTGTCCTTAATGCATTTTTTAATGATACAGAAGGAGCTTCCGAAATCTGATTTTTTTTAAATATAAATTGGGTTCAGTCTCTCCGTCAATTTAATTAATGCTAATAAATAAGAAGCCACCTTCTGGCAGCTCATTAGGCATCCCAAACAGGAGGGGGGAAAAAAAAATACCCAGATTTCCCTGGGTAACTTTGAAAGAGAGAAAAAAGAGCTCTGCCGTATAGAGCGACAGGGCCGCAGTCCCGGCTGGGCTCTGCTCTCTGCTGCGAGGGAGGGAGGGGACAGCAGGCAGCATTTCAGGAACACCGGTAATGGAGCATCGCTCCCTGCGCTTTGGGCTGCCACTCCTTTTAGGCAGAGGCCTCTCCGGGACACTCGGTGGCTCTGTGACACATGCGCAATCACGTCTTAAAGCGCTTCAAGCATCTGGCTATGCCTCCTATCAAGACTACATGAATGATGATCTACTGGGAGTTTATAAATATCGACCATTATTCTGGAAACAGCTCAGCAGTCAGCAGCCACTCTTCAGCCTCAGCTCCTGTGCTCCCGGAGAGGAGGCTGTGTTCACGGTCAGTACGTTTGAAACTGGAGTGGATTGTGATGCTTAGAGACCCTTGGTTGTCCATGCTTAAATTGCTACGCCAAAGCCTGCTGTGAAGAGAGTCGGGACACGTGGACCCTGCCCAGGGCTTCTGGCAGGATATGACAATACGAGGCCTGCAGTGGCCCCACAGGATCCTTGGCAGCACTTTGTGATACCCCAGCACTTGGTCCCCCTCCTCCAAGGGGCCAAGCCCACCATCTCCCTCGTTTCTGTCAGTGCATACCAGGACACACAACCTGGGCTGCTGTTTCCTCTGCTCACTAACCGCTCAGGAAAGCATTTCAGACAGCCCCGCTGGCTTGCCTTGGTCCTGAAAGGCCGCAGGTCCTTCCACCTGACCATAAACTTTCAGCTCCTGTGAGAGCTTCGTTTCCCATTTGATCCCTGAAGCAATCCTCTCGCTCCTCAGGAGAGCCCCACAGGAGACAGAGAGGCGGGCGCAGCCGCCTGCGTTCCCCCAGCAGGCCCTGTCAAACCCCTCGGCAGCCACCCAGCAGCTGCCGGCAGCGTGGAGCCAGGGCTCCTTAGAAGTCTCAGGGAGGAGGAGATGCTATTTTTCCGCCCTTCCTCCAGGGGATCTTCAATTCCCTTGGCTCTCTCTGAGCAACGGCCTGTTTAATCTGAGTCTGTTTGAAGGGTGCAGCAACACAGGAAAGAAAAATTGGATGGACAGAGGTTCCCTGCTGGAGGAAGCTGCTTCTTGGGAGCTTTGTGGAAATGATTAAAACATGCCTGTTTTCCAGCACTGAGTCTGATCTTCCCCTTCGTCAGCACCTCCACTGATCTGCTTTAGCTCGTTCTGCTGGGACTTCCCTGACCTGCGATGGCTGCGGCCCATGTGATGCTCGGTAGCTTTTATAGCTCTGGAGCAGAGACAGAGGCAGCTCTCACACAGCTGGGAGAGGCACCCGGCGCCCGGGACCTCTGGGAACAGGAATACAAGCAGCTTGAGAAAAACATTTCTCTTTTCTGTTTGAACTGCCATGCCCTGGGCTTAGGCTCACACATCAGATAAACTGCACATTAGGCTGAAAGCAGACAGAGAAACTGGTTTGAATGGGGTTAGACAAGGCATTTGCACAGGAAAGCTTCAGAGCTGGCCCATACGCACAGTATTATTTGATTAGAATTAGCAGAGCATATGCAGTCCAGCAGCCAGAGGAAACGGCTGGGCCTTCCTCAGGATTGATGGGCTCTAGCCCTTGCATTAGCATCAACCTGGTGGCAATTGCCGGCTGCCAGGGCTTTGCTTGCAGCAGCGACCACTCTTCCTGTTCTGGCATGTGTGCAGAGCCCAGCTTCAGTTTGAAAAAAAAAAAAAAACCCCCCCCAACGCTATTGAGCCTACTTCCTCCTGTTCATTGAAGCAGTGTTTGTCATGACAGGAGAGTGAACGTGTATAGCTGTCCTTCAGCAACAGTCCTGACCAGCTGGAATAGAGCAGAGCAGAGCTCCTGTCCAAGAGTCAGAAGCTGTTAAAAAAGATAGGAAACAATGACCGCATCTTCTCATGTATCCCGACCTTGGCAGTACTCCTGGGGGAGATGTAGCAGATGAAAGATGGAAGCCATGCCCAAAAAGCCACGGCACCCTTATGTGCAGGACATACCTTGCTGAATGACAAAAATCGGAACCACTGTGCAAACCACAGTTAGATGATTATGCTGGATATATATGCAATATCAGTGATCTTATAGCACAAAACAGTATGTCTTCACTTAAGCTTTAATAAGCCTACAGCTTGATACTGCAAACCAAAACCTCGATAGGAACTACTGATGAGTTACAAGCATGAATAGCTGTACAGTATTCAGGATCAGTCCTCAGTTTTTGTCTTTGGTTCCTTGTACCTACCTGCACTTCTTTAATGTTAACCTTGAATTCAACCTGATTAAATTCTATACAGACTCGGAAAAGCCCCTCTTTTTTATCAGCTGATTATTAAATCTGACTTATATTCTCTGTGGCTTGATACTAGAAGTATGATATCAGGTCTTGGAAGCCAAGCTGTGCAATAGTACCACTTTAACTGGCAACAGAGGACTCGTGACACCTCTGTCATCAGCATACACTTCCCTCAAGGATGGAGGAAAGGACCAGGAGTGCTGACGAAAGAGGCTCCCACAGCACCAGTCTAATGAAATATCCTTCCTGGAAGGGAGCGTGGAGGATTCCAGGAGGCATTCAAGGAAGCTCTGCTGAGGAGAAACAACGCAGGGTAGTGATTTAATGTGGGACTTCAAATAGTCCCTCCCTCAAAGGAGGGCCTCAGAACAGTCGTTTTCTTGAATTAAGTAAATCAAACTGATAAGCAAAACACATTTCCAACAAAACACATGACAGATTGGAAGCAGACAATGGGGAGAAGTTTCAGTTTATTTATTCCTCTTTAAAATGACTTAAAAGTAAATTTAAAACACTATTTTAAAAAAGGGGAGGGGTTTCAAAATATCAAGAAGCTGAAAACAAAACCACGAAGGAGGCATTACAAGGTCAGCAAAACATACAAAGCCTAGTTAGTATAAAATAGACCTATAGTCTCAGTGAGCAGCAAATCCACCCTGCCCATGTAAATTGAATAGCACTTGATACCAGCCCTACTCTTTGCAACACACAAGTCTTTTATCATTTTGTTTTACTGTAGCACTGGGGTAAGAAAACACAACAATTTAAAAAAACAATACTTTCAGTTGAAAGAGAAAACATTACAAATATGATATTGCTCTGGAGGCACTGGTACATGTTTTTCTGTGGTAAGACAGTGTGCCAAAGCAGAATTCAAAACGGCATAATTTTTTTAAAAGGATACAACCCTAGTGAGACTGAAAATAAAAATTAGCTCTGCTACTTTTCTGATACAGCTTGGCTGCAGCCCTGTCCACTGCAAACTGCCTGCAACACTGGAGTTTGGATACGGCTAGGGAGAAGCGATAGGCAGTAATGCCAGAAAATGAAGGGATCTCCTAGTAAGTCAGAGTGCTCTGACAGCTTAGGTTCCATGGAAGGCTTTTGTTACAAAGAGTGACAAAGAGTGACTGTATGTGCCTGCCAAGGCTTTCACTCTGGATGCTTCAAGTTACGTCTGACCTTGAGGGACTAAGCATTTCCCACTGAAATGCAGGAGAGCGATGCTCAACATCTCTGAAGAAGCAAGCCATGCTCTAGGTGCTGGTGTAGATGGTCCCTACAGTTACACAGCCTTGTGTGTAAAGGATGGAGCTGACAGGAGGAGGAAAATATTTGTCTTTTCAATTTGAGAAGTGAAATTCCTGAGCTCTGAAACACTGAGGCTAAAACACAGGTTGAAAATCTTGTGACCGTTCTCACAACCACCACCAAGGAACTGGTGCAGAGCTCTGCTTCCTACTCTTCCCCCATCTACAACAGACAAGTCACCCAGTTGTGCTACTGCTCCCTTGTAATTAACATCTCCAGCTGCCCCCCCCAGAGTGCTCAACAACCTGGGAAACTGATGCAGACATAACCTGGCCAGGACACAGTGCAGAGTCAGACATGGCCGTGACTGTAACCTCCCTCTGTAAGAGACCTAGAAAGGAGAAGATGGGAGCAAGAAAAATAACATGGGTTGCTGCCCACTGGGCTGATTAGAACTAACCAGCCCTGTGGCCAGTCGTGGCTGGCAAGAGGTTAGATACAAGCTTTTTGTGCCCAGGCCTGCAGACAAGCCCTGCCCAACCACATCAGCAGACAAGCACTCTCCCCTCCTCGCCCCCATTCGGCACAGGCAGCTGTAATGTAACTTACACCCTCTGCTGCAGAGCACTTTGATCAGACCACGGAGCACTCGCATCCTCTGAGGGCAGAGATGTGGAATTTCTTAGGATCTGCAACAAAAATAGATCTGGGGGAAGGCACTGGCTTAACCCAGTGCCTGTGCAGAGCACCCTAAAGCAGTTTTACCTCACAAACTTCCTCGCTTTTGAGTCTTGACCTCCCCTACCTGTTTTGGCACATGCAGCCTTCCTGATGCCCCTCTTTGGTGGGCAAGATGCCTGAGATTAGGAGGTCCAAGCCCCAGTGTCCCCACGGGCAGGGGAGAAAAGATGCACTTCAGTCTGGTTTTACTAGGGAGTCTCTGGCTTAAAAATTCACGTTTTAAAAAATGCCATGGCAGGAAGCAGTTAATCAAACATGTCCTCAAACATACGTCGACCCATGGCTATATAAACCTCTTTCTCCTCTGGCGTCATCTGAGCTACCAGCTCAGGGCGCTGGCTCACTTGGCTGTAAGAGTGTGGACGCCCGGCCACCATGACGGTGGGGTCCTCTGCCACCACCTCAAACTCTTCATCTTCCTCATCATCCTCCAACCCATACGTTGTGGTGGCCATGGCGGCAGGACGAGGGGGGGATTCCTCCTCCGACTCGCTTGTCTCACTCTCGGAGTCACTGGCGTTGCCACCAGAGAGAGGAGCCGCGCCTCCAACGGTGACTGTTGAAGCAGAGGGTGTCTTCTTCTCATGGATAAGCAGGGCACGCATGACCTCCTCATTGTCATCCAGAGCTGCCCGGCCCTCCTCACGCTCCTGGAATGCATCCAGATCCCGGCCACCTGCAAAGAGACACAAAGGAATAATAGTTTCTTCTCAGAGATCAGGGTGCCAGCCCTGAAGGCTCGCTGCATCTTTATTCCTTGCTGCCACTATCCTGTCTCTAAAAGACTGCCCCGAGAGGTGTCAAACTGAGGTGTCCCCTAGTGGGACAGAAGCACTTTCATCATTATGGAGCAGAAAGCAGTCCTTAGGATCTAAATCTGGGTTTCCGAATGCCTGAACTATGCACCTAATGACGACATTTGTCAGACATCCAGCAATCTCCAAGAAGGGCTGTTTCATAGGTGAACAAGCACAAGCCGTTTCCTTTTCGGCCCTTTGTTTCTAGGTTGTATGTCCACAGCCTGGAGGACCTTCAGTGATGATGAAGACCCTGGGCTGTTCCAGGAACTGACTATAAACACAGAACCAAAGACAGGTCCTGCCCTGCAGAGCCCTCAGTTTGTAAGGATTAAGAGAGAGAAGCAGATGGAACCAGACAGACAGGAAGTATAAGGGAACAACATGATAAGCCAATATCCAAAGGAGCAGTGTCTCAGAACCTCAGAGGTGTACCTACCAGGTGGGAAGGAGAAAAGTTCATTACAGGAATGTAGTGCTAGTGAGAAGCGTCTTGCACAATGCAAATGAAACTTAGGGCCTGTAGCCAAAGCGCACAGCACAGTACGGAAGGGCTGGGTTAAAACACTGTTCTCCAAGCTGAAATGCAGCCCAGCCACAAAGGTGAGACTGGTCTATTTGGTCTCCTACCTGTAACTCCTATTTGAAGGGGGCTGTGGCTTCCCAGCTGACAGATACAAGGCCTGCGTTCCTGTACAAAAGCGGGGAGGGCTTGACATGGTTTGGGTAAGCAGCATGTCTGCAGTTCACAGATTTCAAAGGTAAAATTCTATTCAAGAGGTAGCTTTCTACAGAAAACCTCTCAAAATCCTACATTTGCTGAGTACTGTGAGTCCACCCAACACTAATAAACCTACAGGCAGTATGAAAAAGAACAACAAACCAGAATAAAAAATGGAATATAGAGAACCTTATGTAAAAACATGGGATAAAAAGTAGGACAGATTCCCCATGGCAAGCTCTCTCTTGCACCAAAAGTCTCTGCATACGAACAATCTCTGGAGCTGAGGTGACGGCATTCTGCCCTCATATATTAATGCCACTGGGCCTCTCTTCTAAAACCGGGTCCCTCATGGTTTTATCACCACATCCAAGCACTTTACATCCAAGTCTTTCCCCATGGGATCAAAAATGCACTTGTTTACTTTTTCCAACTTGAGACAAAAACATGCTGAGAAGCAGGTAAACTAAGGAAGTAAGTTTCACATTTAGTCCTGAAAGCCATAAGAGTTTTCAGCTAGTCCTTATCTGTGGTTAAATAAAAGTGAAAAGACCCATGCTAACTTTACTGCACTCATTTTTTTTATGACAAACGAGTTTCCATGGCCAATAACAAAGGTATAGACTGAAGCGGCTAGCAATCAGCATTTGCAGGTGTTCCCTTCAGGAGTCCCCAAGTCTAAGGGCTAAGTGTCTACTCATAGTGGGACCAGCCATGGGATGTGGCACGTTGTGTGTCTAATATAAGGGAAAGGCAAGATGAGAACACACGTTGATCCACAAAATGATGCTTTAACTTCTCCACAACTGAGATGCTTTCTTGTGTGATTACGTTCCTATCTTGTCCCTGCTCTGAGGAAAATCCCCTCTTCTCCCCCTTCACATTTTCCTCATTTTTGACAGTTTTCTTCGTGTTAATAGAACCTGCTGTTAAAAAGTGATCAGCTGTCTTGGTGAAAAAAGATGTAGATCTCTTCAGATTAAGGCCAGTCCCATAAAAAGCTTGGCACACTAAGACCGTCTGGAAATAAGACTACAGAATTTGAAGTAGTGGCAACAGGACAGAGATTGCTGGATATGGGTCCATGATTTATGGCTTCATTAGTCTGGTCAAACTTGGACATCATAACTATATGGATCCGCGTGGCAACTTAATAGGAAGAAACAATCTTCTCGGCAGCTGAAAATGGGAGCAAGTAATTCTCCCATTGCAGTTCTCTCTTCAGACAGCTAACATCACTGAGGTGCTCAGGCAGGTCTCGGGTTCTTCATAAGAACTTCAGAATGACTGTGCTCGTTCAAACCAAATAACATCTAGCCCAATTCCCTTCTCCAAGAGTGGCTACAACCAAGGAGGGTATTCAGGTTTTGTTATGCATGGGCTGATGCCAGCCCCTGGGGGTACTAACATCATAGGTGAAGCAGCAGCAACCTGGGTTAGCTCTGTGAGTCTGACTTTGTGGCTGAGGAGCAGAGCTGTCTCCTGCTATAAAGCCTGTTCCTGCCAGATCCAGGCAGTGAACGTTTTCTGCCAATGACCCCACGTTTTCTTTCTTCATGCTTATGCCGTCTGAGAGCCCTGTAGACATGTTCCAACAGCAGCTTCAGGCTATGCCGTAAGTTCCCTCTGTGATCTCCAGTAGTTATGGAGATTAAGCATTGATGCCACTGTGCTGTAAGCAGAGGACGTACTCCCCCTCCAGGTCCTTCAGGGGCATCTGAGAAACATTTATGCTGTGTACACCAAAAGGCATCTCAAGCAGCCAGTTTAAAAGTACAAGTAAATCAAATGTCTAGCAGGAAAACTGGATGAGAAATCTGGCTGGTGAGGAACAACAACAACATCTGCAATAGACTGCAGGAGGAGGTCTTCCAATCACCTCAGTTTGGTTCAAACTATTTGGAAAATGTTTTTGGATCCATTTGTTTCAAAGGAGTTATATGTGAACAAGATCATTAGATATCCCCTGACCGTTATTTTGCATCCATTTTCTTTTCTTCACCCACTCCACTCATCTCTTCTCCTGAGGACCGCACGAGGAAAGGAAGGATTCCAGTGTCTCATGTTTATGTACGTGACTCCATTTTGCCATTTTTTTTTCCTAGGGCACCGCCAGTTTTATTCTATAATCCTCAAGTGATTTGGAAGATTGTATCTGTTGATTCACCCTCATAAAAATGATAAAAGGTCTCCATTTCCTATTTTCAGTGTTTAAGCTTAAACAGCAAACTTTCCAAAGCATAGTTTTCCTACTAGTGGGTAGAATATCTTGGCTTTGGTCTAGGGACAATTTGACCACAATATGAATGAAAATAAAAGCAAAGATAAGGAGAAACAAACGGAAAGCAATAATGAGTCACCTGCCATGGTGACAGATTCTCCTACCATACTCCCAGAAGCAATACTTCTGACATATAAAACCTTTTGAAAAATAAATGGCAAGAAGAAGGCTGGGAGTGCAAAAACACTGCTGATAGATTTGGCGAGCCTCAGAGTCATCAAATACAATTTAAATGTTATTTTCCAGCAGTGTCGCGTTGGCAGTCAGCTTTCCAGATGAAGCTGAAAGACCCTCGTCCAAAACCAAAAAAGGAGGAAGAATGCATGTTACTGAAGCTACAGGAAGAGGTAAGAGATAATTAACATTTTAGAAGCACAAACATACTTCTGTGGGCAGCTCAGCTTTACTGACCTAGATTTCAATGCTGGACCTAATAAATTAGGATTTTTTACATCTACATACACACAGGTACTTTGCACTGTAGATGGGAGCAGATAAAATCTGGAGGGCTGGGAGCAGCAGCTGTACATACACAGGAGCATACATTTTTCACCGCACTTCAAGAGCATCATATAAGCAGAGAAGCACTTCTCTGTGAACTTTCTTACCATCTTTGATTTCATCAGGGTCATAAGCCCCCTGCACTGTGCTCTCTCGCAGCCAAATTGGCCTCTCTCTGGCTGGCTTTCCTTCACTTGCAGACCGGCTGAGATCCTCTTGGTCTTCCATGCTGATGACAACGTTCTGGGTATACAAGTCCTCATATGAGGGTCCTTTTGTAGTCCATGCTTCCCGATGGTGTCCACCTGTAAGGCCAGCTGTCCCTGAACCAGCAGCAGCAGCCCGTTCCTTGCTATATAAAAGTCAAAGGGATAAAAACAGTTAGACCATTCAGAGTAAGCCCTTTCCTGGCCAGCGTTGCAACACATAACTTGAACTATGATTAGTTAGCGCCTATGATCTGCATCGAGAATTTCCATTATCATTTCTTATATGTGGTGCCAGGAATTTCTATGCCAGCTTGCTGGTTTTGGGAACTTGGGGGGGAGGGGGTCCTCTAATTGGAAACCCTACATGAGGTCATGAAAACTCCTACAAAATACACACTGGAAAGCAGAGGCAACATTAAGGCACTTATGTAAAAACAAACAAATCAGCCTAGTTTCATCCCAGGCCCAGAGACCCAGCAAGCTCAGATCTGTGAATTGTTCTTAATCACAAGACTCATGAAGGAGTTAATTCACCATGAAAAACAGAGCTCAACCCCCTGCTTGAAACGCAAGTGACAATGCTCTTGCAAAAATTACCAAATGAAGCTGTATCTCCTGTGCTAGACACAAGATCTATACTATCCACAGACCCAGCCTTGGGAGGACTTAGGAATCTGAACAGAGAAAGAAGAGAAGGCACCTTCAAGCCAGACAACTAGGGCAGAGCAAAGGGTTTTGTACGGTGATGGTGTGTGGGAAGGTGCCAGACAGAACTGTCTTCACAGTGGAAAAACAGGAGAAAGAAAGGTGAGGACTGGCATGAAGGAGCCCACAGTCAGAATCTAACACTCCTATCTTTTCTGAGAGGAGTTGCAGCCTGCATATTTTCCTCTAGGCACCCATCTAGCTCAGGAGACTGAGGAGGAAAGGAAACAGTCCTGCTTGGATCTGATAAAAAGAGGACATCAGGTGGAGTATTTTCTGCATAGTGATGGCAACAAGCCCAAAATACTCTCTGGCCTGTGCTTTTACATATGGATTAATCAGGAAAAGCAGCAGAATGGAAACTCGCTGCTTTCCCGGTAGAGGACGTCAAACACGACCATTCCTCTGTTTCCAAACCATATTTCATCTTCTCAAAGAAATAGATCCACTGAAGATTGAGCCTATTCTCAACCCGTACTAGATGCCATATAATTTCAGTCATCTGATTGTAAATGGTATCTATGGCTTCTCCTGGACCTGCCTGGACTCCTCCTCTTGTCCAGAGCAAATCAATCAAGGGTACTAACAGGGCTCCTGTTCTGCTGCCAGCTTTGAAACTGAACCAATAGTTGCTGTCAGGGAGCTCATTGTTCATTGCTATCCACTCGACAACCTTTCCTACAAAGGAGAAACTTAAAATAGGGTTGCAGTTGGAGAAGACCTCAGCAATAAGCAATTTTTTAATTCAGCAAGGACTTAACCACTGCTGGATGAGCTGAGTCTGCTGGATTTTCAGGGGTAAAGGAGGAGGGAAAAATATGCAGGTAGGTGACCATTCTCTTCCTCAGATAAAATAAAATACTGGTGTGTACAGTCTCAGTCTGGATTGAGGGCTATGGACAACCTCCTAATGGTGAGGTTTTCTGGGATCTTTTAGCAAAATACAACACCTGTGTTAGTAAGTGTCTGGTTCTCTCCCACAGTCGGCCCCACTAGGAAAGCTTCATAGCAAGCTTGAATTTCTGGCCAGAAGCAGAAGATTTATGCAGGTATATCACTTATATAACCTCAGGAACCACACAGAGCGTTATTTCACAGAGCGTTTCCTCCCAGAGCGTTATTTCAAGTGCTCATACCTTTCAGGTTTCCAAGATAGATGTGCGTTCTGTGAAAAGCACCACTCTGCTTCCCACACAATACAAATCCGTATCTAGCGTTTCCCTGACAATTTTATGTAATCCACTTTCCCCACAAGATACACAATGCAACTCTCCCTCAAGGCCTTCCTCTCCAGGACTGCAGCATGACAGCTAAATATGCAGTAGTATATTTACTCTTTTGCACACAGGTCTCCATAAGTTTATTTGAAATGGACTTTTCTCCTATACAATATCATCTAGCAGCAAAACGCTCATTCCATGATATCAAGAACATTTTAAAAAGGAAAGTAACAACTATAAGAGAAACCTACAATACAAATTACTTTAAGCCATCTATGCCAATGTGTCACATTTACCTGGAACAATCTAAGCGATTAATTCACAGATAGGGCATTTTGTGACCAAAAGCCATGGGAAGCTGCTGTCTACTCCCTGACCTCTGGTGAGCTTTGTAGGAATGTAAACAGGTCCCAGCTTATTTCACTGTTTGTGCAACTGCAGCTTCAATGATACTGTTACTAGAAGTGAGCAACCCCTCAAGGCTACCTGATCAGGGAAATACCCCTTGATTGCAAGAAATAATCTCATATTATTTGGAACCCCTCTTCCAAAACACTGCATTAAACACCACAGATCAGACACCAGCAAAAGGCCAGATGCGCAAGCTGCTTTAAAGGAGCACTCAAAGCAGAAGAAGGGAGTGAACTCTCTGAATAACCTTCCAAGACCTGTTTTTCCCCCTAGCTCTAGACTTTGTATGGCCATCCTGCAACTAGGGACTGTTCAGACAGTGGCAGCTCAGTGGCTCAGACCTTGTATTTGCATTACTACCCAATAGGTTTCTCTACCCCGATGGTCTCTTTTTAACCAGTAGTTAAGTCAGCTTTAAGGCTGACATAAATAACCCTTGACACAGCTGAGGTATGACCCACAGAAACCACATGGTGCAATGGGAAAATAACTTCAAATTTTTATCTCAATCCTGTGCAGACTGTTAATAAAAGGTCTTGCAAAATGGGGATAACTCTCTTGTGCTGTGTTTGAAATAAAGCACTTTTCATTTAGCTGCTCTTAAAACCTTCAACTCAACAGGAAAGAACCCATGGTCCTTGACAGCATGATCACAAAAGCTAATTCAGTGAAGATTTATGTTACACAAAGTCCTGCCATTTTGACAAAAGAAAATGCAGGAATATTAAAAAATATCTGCTTTAGAAAGCCACAGAGAATGGCTTTGGTAAAGCAGGTTTTTTGTGAAACCTCTGTGGGGCAAATTTATGCTCTGCCAAGATTAACAAAATCAACAGCTCCCTAGAAAGACATAAATGAAGATCTGACTGGTTTCCCATGGCAGGTGAATGACAGGCAATTTCACTGTATCCAGCTAGAGCTAAAACTCTCCTGAAAACCCATGAAGCTGCCTGTGTCTGTGCAAAGAGAAGATGCAGGAACTTTATGAGCTTTTTGTTTGTTTCATAATCATCAAATGTCAGTTTTGTCAACGATTTCACTAACTGAAGGCTCCATAAAATGGAGAGAAGAAATAACCAGGGTTTGGCACTTCTTTCAAAAATCTCAATAGCACTTTCATGCAATTAGTTGCTTTGAATTAATAAGGGATAATAAATAATTAAATCATTGTATGTGCTGAAGGAAGTTGTGTTCAAGTAAGCATTTAAAAAGCTGCCTATTTATTTTGTCATGCCTTGCACAGAGCAATTAATCATTTACAATGTTTTTCAAGTATTTAAGAGTCAACTAAGTGGGTGCTGCTGTTTAATCATGGGACTTCACCAAGCTTCTGCTGTGCTAATTTTCTGTGCACATAGATAAGGTAGCCATGGGGAAGACTGAGAAAGGACTCTCTTGTCAGTGGGGTTATCCCAGTTCTAATAGTCAAACTACAGAAAATAGTTTTTAAAGTGAAGTCTAGTGATTCAGCTTGGGAATAAAGGCTTGCTTCAAAGACACCTCGTATCAACAAAGACATGCTGCGTGACCTTGAAAGATCTGTTCCCCTTCTCTGTATTGCTTCTGTTTTTCTATCAGAATGATGAGTAACATTAGCTACATTCTTGACTAGAAAAAGTCAATGAATAGACAAAGCATTTTGATTACATGATTTAGTCTAGCATGAATAGATGAGGAACATTCTCTCTCAAGGTTAGTCTAAGAGATAAAGGAGTACCCTGCCTGCTCTCCCATGAACTAAGGCCGAGCACCCCAAGGCATTGTGGGAACGCTTTACTCTGTAGTGTGTATCTTTTTTCTTGTGTGTTTAATTACTATTTTTTTAAACAGAGAGAAGCGCATCACATTGCGCCATAGCTGACAAAACTGACAGCTCCTCGCATCTTTCTACATTATTTAAAAATCATCTGGTTTTGTACACCTAGGAATGTTCTGAAAGAAAGCGTCATTTCCCATGGGTAGGAATATTTTAAAGAGTCCTTGACTATAACATGGCCTCCCCGCAAACAAGTAGGAGAAAACCAGAAGAAAGAATGCACTTGTACAAGTAATTTCTTTGAACAAGAGTTTTGTTATATGTGGATGTGAAACACAAGGTGTAGAACGCAGACAGCTTAGTTTCAAAAACTGGGTAGGAGCAAAAGGAATAGATGAAAAGGGATTAAGAGAGAAAGACGACAGTGAAGCAGCAAACGGTAGCCACAATCCATTCTGAAGACTAGACAGTTCATACAGAACTTTGCAAAGTGGCTGCAGCTTGCAGTTCTTAAATACTAGGGCTTGGGAAACATAACGAGCTGCAGCTCAGCAAGCAGCAGATAGGTTTGAGTTCCCCATCCCAGAGAAGACACACGCTGGAGACTAGGAAGCTGCTTGTCTTAGCAAAAAATGGTTGCAGCCTTTTGCCTCCTTATAAACCACATATCGCTTACGAATTTGTCAGTTGCTTGCATAGTTAGTGCTAAACAAGTAAGTCCTTACTGCAGCCAGCAAACTGCACAAGGTCTGGGAAAGCCTCACAGAACAGCCAAGCGGGCTACAAGGAAGCAGCGCGCTCAGAGGAGACAGGGCACGTTCCCACCTCTGCTTCAGGGCAGGAATCTCCGTGGGTTCTGGCTCGAGGATTTCATAGGCTAGGTTCACGTCTTCCGTCTCCCGAAGCAGCGCATAGATAGGCTCAATCTGCTCATTAAATCTTGCTACGAGTGTCCTGGCATCCTTTTTGGGCATCGCCGACTCATCTTCTTCCACTTCAGTCTCACAGAAAGTACAGCGGAAAGTCCCTAAAACGAAAAAAATTGCTAAGCATAGGAAGAAAAGCAACAGGCGCAGCTCTTTATGCAGCATTTTTAACAGCAGTGCTTTGCTGTTTTCTTAGCTTGATGCTAAACAGCTTTTCTCACTCTGACAATTCCCTTCTCACACACAGTGCACCTGGTTATTATTTAAACAGAAAACAAAGCAAGCACTTTGATGTCATCCAGTGATACCCAGCCCGAGGTACAGTTTCTCCCTCTGAAAAGCCCTGATGGGTTGCAGTGCCACTATTGAGACATCTCCTAATCTCACACACCTGCTCCCTTGCCACACATTTTACGTTCCATCTAAAATTGGGCTGTGATGCAAAGCTTCACAATATATTCTTAGGAGTTCAAATATCATCTGTTTCAGGTGCTTGCACTGCTGTTTCCAAAGGTATGACCACACAAACGAGTTAATTTGGCAGTGAAGCAGGGTGTAGTTTTACACTGCACTAATTACTCTGCAGTAACTGCACTCTGCAGTAACTGCCAGTATAACCATTTTCACTCTGCAGCAAATGCAAGAAAAGATGGCTTCTCTTTCTGCTGCAGGGCCAAAGCATGCAGAATAGTCATTACTGCAGAGTAGCAAATGCCAAAGTATATCCCACCTCATCCCCACATTAACTTCCTCAAATTAAGAATGACAAGCTAAGAATGACCGGAATGGCAATTAAAAATAAGCTTGTTTTACAGAGCCCGTTTAGTTAAACTAATTAGTTAAACACAAGGCAACAACTGAACTGGTTGCACGGCAATGCAGTTACAGAAGACCTCCTGAACCCATGCACAGCAGCTTTTCGGTTTCACTGGTCCATCCGTGAGTAGGAACTTCAGGGAAGCACAATGCACAGTAGGACTTTGCCATCTGGTCCACTTGGAGGGCAGCAGCACAGTGGAATGATTTATTCCTTCCAAGTGCTGGACTGAGAAAGCGCTGCTGCCTCCCTTGAACACCTGGATCCAGAGCTATGCCCAGAGACTTGTGGATTTCTCTGGACCCTGTGTGATTTTTTTATTGATCCTTTCTGTGGCACCTCTACATATCTAGCATCATCTCTCAATATCTTAATGAAGCAGAAGATATCTTTTTGCTCACAGGGAGCCCAAGGTCAGCTCATATCAGGGAAACAGTAAGTTCATATATAAAAATCAGTACTACAATCAGTATTGGAGCCTGCTACATCATTGATGCGATGTATAAACACAATCAAAAGTATGGGGTTTGCCCAAGGCACTGGAGCACGATATAACAAAATAGGCTTGCAAGCCAGGGCTTCTGGTATCTTGTTTTGCTGCTTACCCAGATCTGCTAGTCTTGTCACTTAAAACACACACCTATCTTCGCTGTTGACTGTGAGGGCTACACAACGTTTGCACAGCGCTTGGAAAACACATAAAAGCACTGTTTATGATAGGGGGTAGAAGCTGTTGCGCCTCTCAACACAGTCTGTAGAAATGCAGTTTTCTAACTTGGCACTATCTCAATTAGTTTTTGCTTGTTGCTTCTCATAGATTAATCCAAGGGTGTTGCATACGTGGCCTGTAAAATGTACACATTTCCTGAAATAAATTGTCTCTTTAGAAAAGTTCGTTTTGTCTACGTGTAAAAGCCAGAGTGGCCAACAAGAGTGGTACGCAAAGCAAAGGGTAAGTGGATAAAGTGCTCTTCTCTCCCATTCGAGCATAAAACACTGTGCTTACTTTTTCAACCTGTAAAAACTGCCACTACTGATGCAGAAACTGTACGTTATATAAGCAGTCAGGCTGGCTAAAACTGAAGCCCAAGTTTGGTCTCTTTAACCCCTATCTCAGACTATCAGTCTGACAAATCCGCACAACTTGAATCCTTTAAAAATAATTAGTGCATCTCAGTTCCCACAACAGGCTAAGCGAACAAACGCTCAGGCTGATGAGGAAAACCCTCCTCGCTTTTTACAACCCCCCTCCCCCGCTTAGCGTCCTGTTCCTGAGACAGCTCAGACTTCTCAAACTTCCGCTCAGGAGCCGCGCGAGTATTTGCAAAGGATTACAAACACAGAGAGGATGGTTCCAACTCAGAGTACCTAAAAATCAGAAATAATAAATACAGCTCTAATGAAACAGGATCCCTAAAGCTAGAGTGGATATACTGCAACTTCTACTCCTTAGCATTCCCAAGGAGCAGAAAATAAAAAGTTAATAGCTGAATTATGTAAAGAACCTGGGAATGATTGAACTGACAAGCTTCCTCTATTAATATGCTGATTTTTTTCAAGGTGACACAGCATTTCACACGAGGCACCTACGATTAGAGAAGTGAGAAGCTGCTTTGCCATGGCAGATGGCATTTATGTGTTACAAATCTCTTTTGCTGGACGTTAAGAGGTCAAAAAATGTCATTAGAGCTTTCATGATATGGCACATCACATCAGCGCTGACACATGTTCCTTCCAAAGAAGCATTGCACATGACTGACGAGAAGTGGAGGCCATCCAAAGGCTGCGACTGGCGCAATGGTCCACTCTGATGATATATTTCTTCCTTCAGCCCTGATAGAACTGATGCTTTTCCATTCCAGTACATTGCACAAACCAGGGCAATCAGTTATCCTGAAGCAAACACACACAAGGCTTTCCGGCACCTTGGAAATACTAAAGGAGAACACATATATCCTCTTCTTCCCATGCACACTTATTCATTCCATGCTCAGGCACTCAAGAGCTTTCTCTACATGTTAAAAAAAAAAAAGACAGCCACCTGAAAGAGGTCTCCTCATCTGCTCCTAGCCTCTCAACGAGAGATACACCAGTAAACTGGCTCCCCAAGGCATGCTAGGATTAAGCTGTAGCTCAAGCTTTGAAGCAGAGGGCCAGAATATTTAGAGATAATTCCTACTGACTTGATTTCACTCAAGAAAAGGAAAAGGTCAACTGTCCACATGCATTAGAGACACAGTGCCCAAACATGGCCGTTATACCTGCTGCAATTCTATTGTACGCAAAAAATTCTATGTTAAAAAAGTGCGAGGATACAAAGAGGCGCACTCTCAGAAGTTAGGAGATGTCAGAATTAACAGCGCCCACACTGCTTCAGTTTGGCTCATCCCAAGCGTACAGGTTTAACTGGCCACAGCAGCCTGAGTCTGAGTCCAGGATCTGCTCACAACCCTTCTCAAAGGGATCAAGCGGCATCTTCAGCCCAACAAGGTGTTTTTCCTTCCACCCTCCCCTCCGGGATACTGTCCCACAATCACATGCCTCTGATACTTAAAACCACTTTAATTTTAAACCTAAATTTATTCCCATTCATTTCAAACCTATTTACTGTTGTGCTAAAAACTGTCCCTCATTTCAGCTAGCCCCCACCCTCTTGTTAAACCCTTAGGTATTTTTACCAACTGCTGTCATATTCCCTCTTCCACCTTCATTTTGCAAGGCTAAATAAGCAATACTCCCAGATCTTTTGTCCTCCTTTGTAGTTTCTAGTTGATGAGCTCCAGCTTTAAAGGAGAAGTTTCTGTTAAAATACTAGGTGCACGACGTTATACTTCATACTACAGTCTTTCAGTCCATTTTTATTGCTCCAGCCTTCAACCTCATCCAATTCTTTATTCTTGACTACATAACAAAGCATTAAACTAATATTTTCAAAACCTCCTACAATCTTCTTTTAGAAGTAGCATTATCACCATTATCTGGAGGGTGAACTAAGGCGCAGATAGCACAATTTCAGAAGTATCTGCTGATTTGAGCAGTACTTGATTTGAGACGCCTAAGAAATGCTTTTCTGATACTTCTGTTACAGCAATGAGCACACAGCATTTTTACAAATCATCTTCCAGACTTTAGAATCAGGAACCTCAAATGAGTTAGGAACAACCGTTAATGACAAGTCTTCAAAGAGTTTAGTTTCAAATGACTAGTCCAACATAACATAGGACCTCAGCGGCCCTGGAGAATTGGACCATGTTCCTGTGGCTACCACAGCCATTTTCTTCCAGTAATTCCCTGTCTCTTACACTGAACAGCTTTCCTTCTTCTGCAGCAAACTAGACAAGAGCCCATTAGACGTTCACAGCTCATCTCTCTCACTAAGCGAATGACAAGTTTTGTGGAAAAAAATCTATGTGGTAGAGAACAAGTTACACGATGCATACGCAATACGCAGCGCTTCCTAACCTGGGGTGCTTCATTTGACATAAAAAAAAAAAAAAGGCACTATGAAGATTCTGAGAAAAGGTCAAGAGTGTCCTAGGTTCTTACCAACGGGAAACCAGAAAAATACAAATCACCATGTGATGTTCTGCCAACGCCCATATGGTTAACCAGCAGATTCGGAGCCTTCAGTTCCACACAGACCTCTGTCATTTGACTGGATGAACTAACAGAGAAGACGACAGCCTGCTAGTGCTATATGGATCAGCTGTAGGGGGAAGCAGGCTGCCTTGCCGGCTTGCTTGCTGGCAACAAAGGGAGGATGAGTGAAGGACTTCGGGTTCTGCTCCAGCTTCCTGAAGGAAATGTGTTTTGTGGGCTCCAACTTTTCTACCGGCTAGCCCCAAGCCTCGTATTGCCTACCCAGCATCTCCCATCTGCTCCTGTCCCAGTTCCTGGCTTTTCCCCACTCTGACATGTTGATGGTCCTATTCTCCTTACTAGCAAGCCCTAGTCTCCCTAGTCCTGCTTTTGCGTGCCTGCTTTCTCAGCCTGAACTTTAGAGCCTCTCACTTCCTCAGCCTTCCCTGTCCAACCTTCTTTTCTTGGGCTCCTTTTTCCAATCTCAACTTCTTCCTCCTCCTGTGGCACTCTTACACGTGCTTTTTGATCTGCTAGTCCTATTTCTTAATTTGAGCCCCAGCCTGTCATCAGATCAATCTCCTGTTTCAAACCAGAGAGATAAAACAACCTTTCACAACAAAACCTGTCATTCAGAACATTATAATATAGGCAAAGGGTTACATTTCTCCTGTCTCCTCATCTGCTTTCTTAGCCCCATTCTTC